CACATTAACCTGTATACGCTTTTACTTTACAGACTATAGGTAGTGTTTAAGGCTTTTTCCGTTCAATCGTAAACTTCGATTACGAGCGTTAAGACATGGATCGAGTAAGAGACTACCTACATCAAAAATTGGTCGAGCGAAAGGGGTACCGTCTCTTGCAGGAAGGTCCGCCAAGTCCACCGCCGAAGAAGAAGGAGGAAGCGAGATATTGGGAATGCCTTGTGGAAAAAACATCAAAGTCGACATCGAAGGAAGAAACGTGATATTAGGAATATCCTTGGGAAAAAACATCAAAATCGGCATCGAAGGAAGAAACGAGATATTGAGAACATCCTGGGGAAAAAGCATCAAAATCGACATCAAAGGAAGAAACGAGATATTGGGAATATCCTGGGGAAAAATCATTATCGTCATCATCGAAATATAAACCATAAACATTGATAAACTCGCAAACAAAGAAAATACATAGAAAAAAACGCGATAAAACGTGTCGCGACACGTTCGCAATTCTTGGAAAAAAGGGAAGGGTTACTCCTTCTTCGATTCTAGAAGTTTTACCATATACGCCGCAATTTATGCGGGTATGATCAGTCTTGCGATACCCGCTTGTACGAACAGTTGAAAAACGTATTTCGCCAAAGAGAGCAACGCATCGTACGAAACGAAGAAGTGCTGCAGTAACATGTAAATTTCTAACGCAAAAGAAACGTTTTTAACATTACGTATGTACACAGTATAGAGCATCGCGCGATGCGTTATTGAGCAGACGTTACGATCTGACGGCTACGGGTTACAAATATTTGGAAATTGGAATCAGCGTTTGCCCGCTGAGTTACGTGGAGATCGCCCTGGGAGATCATCGCGGACACGAACTGTCGCTGTCTCTCGAAACATGGAAGGGCCTCTACGAGCAGCGATGGAATATTTACAAGATGCTGCGAAATGAACACAAAGACAATTTCATAAGCGTTGGACCGCTAACCGTTGGAGTGTGTACGCTGAACGATGCTACGCTCGTACGCCTCGATTCTTCGTCCGTACGAATGACGATGACCGAAACGACGCTACATCGCATGTTCGCGTTTGACGGATGTATCGATGTAACGTTCGAACGATTAGTCCGACTCGTCGATACGGTTGACATCAAGTATTCACGATTCTCCAACATTGCGTCCGAAGACGCTATACGAGATAGCAACGTCTTTAACAAGCATCAGCTCGTCAATTGCGAGCTATTGGCTTTAATTTTTAATACACAAGAAAAAAAACCGATGTAATAATATGTGAATAAAAAATTTTGTTGTTCACATCAAATATATATGTACTTTCTTTGCTTTCCTTCTATCCATCCATCCTATGCCTCGACGTGCTCTCACACTTAGTTTATGTAAACATCTGCGGACGCTTCTTAACGCGTCGTGTCACGAATCATATACGTATGTATGTATATGTATGAACGTATAAACGTTTGTATAAGAAAAAAGAAAAAGGGGGAATAACAGGTGTGAAAATAAACGCACGCAATTCGTAGGTTAAAATTGATTTTTTATTTTATATCATTGTTAATGATAACATGAACTTAAAGGTTCAAAAAGATTTATTTGCACACGAAGCATTACAGCGGTGAAAACTTATAGTGAATAATAAAATGTCCGTTGTGTAAACATAAACTAAAATTTTACTGCGCGCGCATTACGCGGGAGCGCCGCAAGCGCCAGTTATCGACGAGACTACGGATTTGCGCGGTCTAAACAAATTCACTACTTTCCTTAACAATCATATTATGTGCACTACTTAGCAACGTCGCAATGCATCGCGATTTTTAGCCTATATTATAAAGAGTGTCACAACGACATAAGCGATAGCTTTTCTCGTGAAGGCACTTATGATCCAAACTGTTTATATACAACTGCTGTCTATCGATAAAGCCTAGGCAGGCTCGCTGAAGCGAAGGATGGATCTCAGCGTCTTTGTTTGCGTGCGGGAGTATTTTGACGTGAGTGATTTTTTTTCCTTACGCGAGTAATCTCTTTCTTTTTATAAAACGTGCAAGACTATTCTACCATTTAGCTGGTAGAATACTCTTGCACGTTTATGTGAATAAGTGGAAGTGACAGTGCATTTTTTTATAGAAAAAATTGTGAAAAACTGTTATTGGTGCCTGCCTGTGCGGTCTCTCGAATGAGCACCTCTTTTTTTCGAGCCGAACAAGCAAAAAAAACCATCATGAGCAACCTGGGAGACATACTCGAAATCCGGTTGAGGAGGCAAGTAGTTTTTTTGTATATGTCAGATTTTTTACTATGTATAAGCATATTCAGACCTATGGTGGTCAAAGTTAGATCTTTTTGTCTAAATAATTTCCAGTGAATAACTACAAAAATATGATATATGCACACAGCGAAAAATGCTGTTGATTCAATTAAAGTCTATATTACGAGTCGTCACTAACGTAATTAAACTATTGCAATAATATCACAAGTTAAATTAATTTGACAATATATTGAAAACTTCAAATAAATTTATTGCTAGATTTTTATTTTATTTTATTATTTTTTAAATTTATTGCTACATTTTTTAAATTTATTGCTAGATTTTTTATTTTTAAATTTTTTAATTTATTGCTACATAAAAAAAAATTTTTTTAATTTATTGCTAGATATTTTTATTTAAAATTTTTTATTTTTTATCGTTTTTCGTTAGTATCTCATGATCGATAACCAGAGAGTCGAACGGTTACAATTGGCCAAGGAAGTTGAAATCCTCAAGATCCCGTTTTTTGGTAAGATTATTATAAATTATAAATTATACATTATACATTCTGATTCTGATTCTATTTCTTATTCTATTTGTACTCTTTTTTTTTCCAGAAGACGCATCGCTGTGATGTAAGCATAAGAGGGTTCATAAACCCATATCATTGGCGCAACGTGCGGGCGGAGAGGCGGGCAGAACGGTTGTTCAGACAGTATTATTTGGATGTGTGGGATGACAACAGCCTCTTTTTGGAAGAACTGTTTGGTCTCCGGCCGTACGAGTTGGATGAACTGGAAGAGTGGTGGTTAAGTGTCATATTTTTTTTATTTTTTTTATTTTTATTTTCAATTAAATATTTTTTATTTATATATATATATTACATCTTATTTTTTACAGAAAGCTACAGCGGTGGCGGCGGCGAC